CTTGGACACTACAGACATCTCTGACCTAAGGGCACTTAGTATAAGGTGATGCCATAGCTGTGAAGAGGCGAAATAATGCCTGGAACATGGGTGGGCAGACTCAGCCAGCAGCAGCACTTACAACAACATCAGTAGCCCTGTGGCATGTTCCCTCTGTGCTGCTTAATATGCGACGAACAAAGGTCTGGTTGGTGACCCAGCCCTCCCTGTATTCAGAGGCTGAAAACTGCCTCATTATTGTTCATTATGTAGTATTATTCTCATGCAGTCACATTATCATAGCTTCCCCTGAGAGCCAGGATGCTGCTGTGGGCTCTGCACAGCTACACTGGTTCCTATACCTGAGCTAATTTGTTCAGTGCTAACCTGATGTCTCTGCAGGACAGAGAGCTATTCCCCTTGTAAGGGAAGGTTCAAGCATTAGTTATAGCTGCTGTGTGAGAAGTACAACATACACTGTCTATTTTTGACAGGGACCTGGTTTGCTGGCCCCACTGTGAGAACATGTTAACTCATCCAGGGGAAATTCATTCCAAACTCAAGTAATGGTTGCAAAGGAGGTACATGCAAAGAAATCAACTGTGGAGAGCAAGTGGAGGGTTGAGGGAGAGAAAGTTGTATGCAAGAGTGGCAGCAAGAAAGGGGAAGTGTGGCAGGGGTTTTAAAGGCATTCCAAAGCTCAGAGGTAGTAATTAATTTCTAGATAGCTTTGAGGTTAGGACATCCAAAATATTACCCATTCTGCCTTCAGATGAAACAGAAATGAGCCAATTCTAGTTTACAGCCAGTGCCCAGATCATTGCAGCCGCTGCATCATTGTGAGTTGGCCACCATTTGAGATCTTGTTCTATGACAGTGCGGTGTTAGGGTGCACGGAAAGGAGCGAATGCCTCAGTGCAGTGAGGGTGCTGACAGAAAACAGAAATAATATGATGGCAGTGATTGTATACATTTTGCTTTACACATGAGCTGACAAGTACTGATACACACAGTTCAGTTCAGGAAAGACAGGGAAGGCAGTTAGCCTACTGTTAGGTACTGGAGAGCATACGATGAAGAAAAAAGATAATATATATTAAGTGGTGTAAATTAACATCACAAAAAAAACCCACAATAAATATAAGGGAATGCTAAAAGTGAATACCAACAAATGGAAAGTACGTGGACATAGGGCAGAAAATTTAAAGTGATAGAGTTGGTAGGATGTTTAGAAATAAAGTGGATAAATCTCCTGTAAATCAATAGCAAATATAAATTCTGCATGGACCCTCTAAATTTTGAAAGTCAGTATCTTTTCTGCTCCCAGCTTGTGGGATTCAATGCATCAAGTCCATGTACCAAAGTGCCATCTCTTTGCTGTATTGCCCTTCTGCCATTCTTCACAAGGAGCAAGGATGGTGATGGCCCTTTGATAATGTTAAGAATGAGTTCAGTATTGGAAAGGACTTGTATCACACCCCAGGTATGTATAGAGAAGGAGATAACCGTGATCAGAACAGAGCCCCTTACTCCAACAGCATATTCCTAAGTCTCTTGCATTCCAAACATGGCCATTGTTGCCCTTACTAACAAGAAAATAGCAAACAGCTCTTTTCCAAGATTAGTATATGGAGAAGAACGTAGTCACAGGAACTAAAGCAGCAAGGTAGATTAACCCTTACTACTGAAATAATCATATAGTATTGCCAATCAATGAAGTCCAGAGATGGGACATACATAGGAATAATTTGGAAGGTTCCACAAACAGTATTTATTACTTGTTTCATTCTTGCTCCTACCATTGTTCTTTCAGGGTTTTTGATGTTGCTATAACAATTCACAGTTTTCTAAAGTTTGTGTGTCATTTTTACCTTCTGGACCATGGAGATATATTAGAGAGCTTGCTGATGGAAGTGTTCATAGAAGTAGTATGCAATCAGAAAAAAAATTAGGTTGGAAGGGTCCTCCGGAGGTCTGTAGTCCAATTCCCTGCTCAGAGCGGAGCTGACTTCCAAGCTGGATTAGGTTATTCAGGGCCTTGTTCAATTAAGTTTGGAAAATCTCCAAGGATGGAGATGCCATAACCTGATTGAGTACTTAACAATTCTCCCTGTGAAGACTTATAGGAAAAAGATAGCAAGAGAAGTAGACTATATAAGAGAATGTAAGACTATTTAATTAGAATATATAGGTGAAGATCATGGCAATAGGAGCTTTCTGTATGGGTGATAAGGTAGAACAAAAGAACAGCAATACTTACAGTAACAGCAGGATTTCTATGACTTTGCCTTTGCTGGCAACAGTAGTTGGACGTTGCAGACTGGAGAACTTTGTTTGGGTTTCTTCATAGGTAGTTTTGATCACAGTGTCCCCAGGATTTTTCTTTTCTGGAAACCTTTCTTTAGATGCTTAGCTGACTTTGCTGATTCCTTAGCTTCCCTCCTGTGGAAGCCTGCATCCCTTTCAGGTGGTAGTGACATACAGCCCATGTCTGAAGAGTGAGAGAAATGAGATCCTGAGGAGAGGTGTCATCTCCAGCGCCAGTCAGCACCACTACTATATTCTTACCATCCTAGTGAGCAAAAGTCATCAAGCTGCAGGACTGCAATGTGGAAAAATGATGACACAAGAGCTTCTTGATAACACAGTGTCAGCCTTAGGAGCAAAGTAGAAAAAATATGGGTTTGAATAGAAAGAAGGAAGGGATGCTTTGCACAGCCTTCTTGGTGTCACTACCTGTTGCTATAGTGTTTTTTAACCTTTCCCTCTAATGAGTTTTGAAGGCCTGGGAGGCACAGGCAGGATCAGCCACAGGATGAAACATCAATCAGTGTTTGATTTAACAACAGAACTATAGCTGTGCTAGTTGACTGACAAGTCTTGTTTACTCAGACTTAGCCCCCGCTCTGCAAAAAACAGCAGTCTCCTGCCCAGGCCAGGCAGCATTGTGTGTGAATAGACCTGGAGTCAGAGGCTGTATTCCAAGCATATAACTTGGCTTAACTCTGAGCTGAAAACAGACTTTAAATACAGCAGTTCAGCTCCTGGGTACAAGGAACTTCATTGCCTTGTGCATCCAGAGTCCAAGCCTACATACAGCCTTTGTTCCCAGGCCAGAAAGGTGTGCTATCTGAAAGCTGCTTGGGTAGCAATGCTGTAAAAACCCACTGGTTTATGCACAGATTTCCTGCAGTCCCCACTGTATGCGGGCTGCACATGGGAATATCCTGGGCTCTGGAAATGAGGTGTGTGAAGGTGTGCCAGAGTTCGTTTGGATCATGCCAAAGATCCATACAAACTGTTACAAACACAACAGTCCATGTACTTTAAAATATACGTGCCCACGTACAAGCTATAGTTTACAGCAGCAATAGCATCCGCCCATCCCGTGGTGTGGAGACTGCAGTCCCGGTAACCCAAAACGCACCAGGGCTGCCAGAAGCTGCGGGGTGATCAGTGTGACCCCCTCGCTGGCCGTGGTTCACCTGCACTCCACAGCCCAGCTCAGCTCCCGGCCGCACCCCGAGGCCCCCCCAGCTGCCACCGGGCGCCTCTTGCTGCCCCTCGGCCGAGCCAAGGGATCCCTTCCGCGCCCACCGCCTCCTGGAGGGGCTTTGCGGGACAAAGGCTGGGGAAAGGATTTGTTTTATTTCTTTCTTTCTGGCCCGTTTAACTTATTTTTTTATTCTTTCTTCCTCGCTCTGCTCCTCGGGCCGGGCCGGGCCGGGCCGTGCGGGTGCTGCCTCCCGGCGGCGGCCGCAGGCAATGGCGGCGGACCGGGCCCTGCCCCCGGCCGGGCGCGCCGCCCTTATATAAGGCCTTTATGTAAGCGGCCGACTCGCTCTGCACCTACTCGCCCGCCGCGGAATCGGCGCTCTCCGCGCTGGACAGTCGCTTTAAGAATGGAGAGGCCAGTGCAGCCCTCAAACCCTGTCCCGGGTGGGACGCAGGAGGGCAAAGGCACGCGGGGAGAAGGGGCTCCCGCCCTGGCCCTCCGTGAGGAGAGTCCCGGCCTGTGGAAAGGGCTCTGCCGGCAGGCAGGAAGTGTGCCCGGGGTGCCCCGGCATTTCTCGAGGGTCGGCAGGAGATAACGGGTTCCAGCGGCACGGCTCCAGCCTGCTCGGCTCCTGCTGTGTGCCCAGGTTTCTGCCCCCGGCATGCGGCGGCAGCAGCCGATGTTTGCCCGGTGCCCAGCCGCGTCCCGGGCCCGGGGCAGCAGTGTCCCCTCCGGAGGCTGCATCCCGGGCTGGAGGCGCAGCTCCCTGGCGCGGGGAGCGCCGAGGGAGCTCCTGCACCTGTGTAGCGAAGGAAGGACAGTGAGGCAGGTGTTCGCTGTGTGATTCAAAACCTGCCGCTTCGCCCGGTGCCTCGGCTTCTCCAGCCGTGAAGCTAAGGTGGTGACTGACTACCTGCTTGATGTTTCATTGAGGCTTAATTCCTTGGAGGTTCTGGATGGAGGGAGGTGACGAGAGCTCGTGTGCTCAGTACTCATAGACAGCTGTTTCAGATTCCAAGTCTTAATGCTTTACTTAGATGAGCTCTGCATCTCCGAATTGCCTCAGTGCTCTTCCCCACAATCAAGTCTCTGCACCGATTAGTTTTGAACTTGCATATTTGTTTGCTTTTCAGACAATTCTATTATATTTCTGCATAACTCTCTCTATTCAGAATGCTACAGCCTTGGTTAATATTTGTCAAACGGTGCTTTGACTGTCTAAACTACTGGGACGAGTTTCATTTTCTATGTCATCAGTAGGGGCAGAATAAGGAGCTTCATGCTTGGCCTATTTGCTGTAATACAGTCTCAGGGCCATTGCATCAGAGTCAAAACAAGGAGCAGCTTGTTTCCAAACAAGAAGTATGGAGGAAAGTCTTCTCTGCCTCCTTCCCTGTAAGGGAAAAGAGAAGCGAGAGGGGGGTGGTGGTGGGGGAAGAAAGTTATCTTTAACAGATTCTAAAAATGCTTTTTTCCAAATATGCAGTCAGTCCCTTCAAAGGTCTCTTTGTTTATTTTCAGGAAGAAACCCAAGACAGCTGAAAACCAGAAGGCGTCTGAGGAGAATGAGATTACTCAGACGGGTGCATGCAGCGCCAAGCCGGGCCTTCCCTGCCTGAACCTTGAAGCTGTTCCTTCTCTGAGCCCAACCCTCATCCACTCTCCACATTCACCAACAAACCTGCACGCACACACAGGGTCATCTGATTGTGAGTACACCAACATGCTGCTGGGGTTCCTGAAAACACCTCCCTTACTGTGCACCAGGTTTTCCAGTTGGATGCTCTTCCCATAATGTCATAAAGAGGATCTTCTCAGGGCTTACCTTCTCCCTTCTTTGGGAATTACATCTAAAGCAGAACATTTTTGTGGTAAGATTGTGATAATGCAATCAGCCAGAAAAAACTGAGAGCGTGTTGTTAGGTCAGGTTGCTGCTTATTGCAAATTAAAAAGGAAAGACCCCTCAAGCATGTCCCTGTCCAACTAGAGCTGTTGCACTGCTCCAGATAGTCACAAGCTTCTCATTACCCAACCGTATCTCCTGACTGGAGGGGTTTCAGTCTGTGCTGAAAACATGGGCCTGGCTCTGCAGCCCAGGACTGTAAAGTTTCCATGAAGAAAGGGGAGCGTTTTGTGGAGAGGATCAGTCTGTGAGAGTCTGGAAAATCTTTGTAGACCTGTGTGGCTGTACCAGCCTGAAGGCCCTTGTTTTGAGGGCATTTACTTTCAGATTACTCAGCATGGGTTAATTGCCCTTTAGAAAATGTTCTTCTTCATTTTGCCAAAAAATACAAAAAATAAGGGAGGAGATGATTAAAACTGGATTTTGGAAAGTCACCTGACCTTGCCAGCTCTTCAAAACATTGTCATTTCACAGAGGTCCTTGCCTGGAAATCTCTTGGGCAAGAATGTGCAGGGTAATGTGAATTTCATCAGTCACTAGTTTTAGAATCTATAGTTTACCTCTTCTGCAGTGGTGTATAATGTAAATTTACAAGGCGGGGGGGGGGGGGAAGAAGATGATGACACCAGGTTTCAACAGCTCGGAAGCCAACCAGACTTTGCAAAAGCCTGTAAAAAAAAAAAAAAAAGTCAGGGCATGACAATAAAAAATCAGATTAAAAAGTATGTGTATCCTTTTCTTTCTTTAATTTAAAAATCCTGCCTCAGGGCCAAGCTTGGAAGCAGTCGGGTTATAGGGATCATCACTATCAAAATCACTTTAGCTGCAATTCATTCCTGTTGGCTTCTGACTTTATTCATTATGAGCTTCTGCTAGAAATCTTGATTTTAATAGAGCTGGTAAACATTGGAGAGACTTTCCTAAATCTCACCTGGTGATTTGGGGAGAAGAAAGAGCTGTGAAACAATTGAACAGCAGGCAGTATGCAATGTAGTATATATGAGAATTCTTTTCAAATTGGAGATGTCAGATTCTTTGTTAAAACTGGGGTGCAGTTTTGTCTTGTAATGTTTTCTGAAAACAAAAAGCTTGTGAAAAGATGCAAAAAATGAGCAGAACAACAAGAAAAAAATAATCCTTATTTTCAAACAAAGAATCCCTTTATCCCATTCACAAAGATGAAAGAGTTCATTAGTAAATGGGATTTGAAACCTCACACTGATTTTTTTGACAGTACAAATGGAAACCCATGAAAGCAACCTTAGGACAGAGGCCAGCAGGGATTGTTGGGAAGTTGGAGAATGAGCTCCTGCTTTTGCTTTCTGAGGTGGCCAAGTTCAGGGTGAGGAATATTGGCAAAGGGCGGCAGGGGAAGGTGGAGCCTGCAGCTCTTCATGCTCTACCTGTTCTGTGCACAGTGTCTTTTAGACTCCTAAGTTTTTAGGCGACACTGTCCCCAAGTCACCTTCCAGATGATGTCAAAGGCCTTTTCCAACATAAACAATTGTATTATTCTGTAAATAGGAGTAAACTGCCAGCCCAAGTTAGATGATCCTTTCACACTGCAAGTGTGGGGGATTTTTTCAGAAAATGGGTTTAATAGCAATTCCAGCAGTAACATTGTCCTGTCTTGTGAATTGTTGAAATTTAGTTCCCAAAATATAGCTAGAGTCCTGCAAAGATTCAGGAAATAGTAAGACCTCTGGTGGTATTATCTCTGTTAGCTGAAAGCAGTAGAAAATCTCACAATTATTTATTATGGGTTATGACCTTTATCAGGCTGTATTTGTTAGGGGTGGTATGCATATAATTAGTGTTTGGCATGCCCTTGCAAAACAGCAAGAACCCACATGAACTGAAATGAGGCGTGATGAACATTTACTGCATATTTACTGTAGCTCTCTACCATGTTTTATGGTATTTTCACATGGCCTCAATCCTTCAATTGCTGGAATATGTTTGTGGACGCAAAAGATTGATTTTTTTGTGGCACCCAACTGTAGAAACGGGTCTCCCTGCAGTTACAAATGCTTTCTCCATACCTCTGATGTGCCCTGTCTTTTGGGTCAATTCTTTCCCCTCACTCTAGAATTTCTTTCTTTGTCCTTCTCTTCCTCTCCCCTCAGAGCTACATTGCCATATCTTTCTTCCTCTCAACTTTTGGACCCATGGTGATTCTATTCTTTGGGCCAGCAAGACTTTCTGTCCTTCCCTCTACCTTCACACAGCACAACATTGTTTTTCTTCCCTTGCCCAGAGCATCCTACTGCCTGGGCAATACCCCCACAGCTGGAGAGATTTTGAAAGGACATTCTTCATTCTGCTGGGGGGTTTTCTAGTGGATGGCAAATAGTACAGAAATACTATAGAACTAAAGTTAGATTGAAAGTTTGGGAGGAATTTTCTCTGAAAATACCAGAAGCGCCCAGAAAGAGTCAGCATGGCAGGGTGTATCAATTCTTGGAAAAATGCACAGATGTACAGATGATTTCATAAGGCCTCATTTATGTATCTGGGGGGGAAAAAAAGGCTTGGATTTTATGGACCACCTATTCAAATCAGTTTGAAATCTTCACTGACCATTTTGCATGCACAGTCACTAGTGCTTGGCAGAAAACAACACCACATATTTATTATTATGAGAAATGTTCAGAAGCCAATCTACTTTAAAATATCAGGGTGCTTTTGGAATGATTCAGATAATTTTTTTTTCCAAGCAAAGGAAATAAAAACTCTGTGATAGCCATCTGCCCCTCAGCTGTAAAAGGCAGAGGTGAAGAAAGCCTAAAGCAATAGTCTGAAAGCCAGTCTTACTGATATGAATACTTAGGAAAAAAAAAAAAAAAACCTTGGGTAAAGTCATATGTGATGCACAACATAATTTAAGGTCTCATTCTGTAGCATATATTCTACATGCTGCTTCTGGTGCCACTTATTCAAAATGAAATTGCATTATTCCTCAGATTTGTAGGACTAGGTCCTAGATTTCTGGGTTTGAACACTATTTCCAGCACTGATGAAGCCCTGAAGCTAAATCCAGAGCACAGGATGCACTGTGTCCAGTCCCATCTCTTTTAGTCTTGGGAAATGCAATGCAGTTGGAAAACAAGTTAGAGGAAGAGGTGCTTCCTGAGGTAACTATTTTCATGGAGGGCTTAGCAGCCCTCATGATTCAAAACCACCATTAATTCACTAATAATTGAATTAATTTGGAATTAAATGATAAGAGTGAGCTGATAGAACTCCAGCTGAGTTAGGCATTGAGCTTCTCAGCTGTCACCAACAGATCTATCTGCTTACCCAGAAGAAAGGTGCTCATGCAAGGACAAGTACAAGTTGTGGAAAGGTTATGAAAAAGCAAAGGAAAGCAATGAGATTTGTTCTATTCACATATTTTTCACGTATTTCCTTGCTTATGGATAGAGAATGCATAAAGTGCATAATAAGGCTGTAACTCAAAGGCTGAACAGGGTCAGGTAAAGTTTCTAAAGATTTCAATGTGAAGAAGAAGGTCATCAGGAGCTGGCTGTATTTAAACTGGTTTGGTCTGCATAGGCCACTTATTTCAGGAGCTTTTCAGAAAGCTGTATATATTTTGCAAGCGTGCCAAGAGATAAGATCATTTTGGCAGAAACTTTCACGAGTTCTCAAAGATACAATCAGACAAAAACTTCATTCAGGCTCTGATGTATGCATCTTAACAGATGTGTCCAAACTCAAAGGAATCCCACGGGAACAGTGCAACTGAATTTCTTTGTCTCTATTGATAGTTAAAAGAGTTATTCTTAGACATTGGATGGTCCATCTGTGAAGGAATTTGTTCCAGACAAGACAAAAGCAACATCTTTGCAGAGAGTTTCCATGGGATGGAGAGGCAGGTTGGACAATGACTGAAAAACTTCTGAAGCAGTATTTATGATTTTAGAGAACACAATTCTTGCAAAGACCTGAGACTCTGGTAAGGAATGAGCTGAGAAGAAAAGTAAACCATGAATATTTTTTTTTAATCTGTTAAACAATCATTGGCAGGTTGTCGAAATAAGGGAGGACTTTCTAAAGTTATGTTTTAGCAAGGGATGGGGGTGGTTTTTTGCATTAAATAGAATGCACATTATAAACAGTGTCAGTGATAGACCACATCTGAGCTCTTTGCCCCTACATGCTCAAGTACCATGGCTGACTTGGTCCAATTCCAGCATTTTTCAGTTTTCACAGGACAGGAATTTTGAAGCAGAGTATATGCTTTTTTCTCTTCTAAGTACTGATTTTTGTAGCTTCTTAGCCTTCCAGCATGACAGGGAAAGACAGGGTGGGAACCTCACAGGATTCCTGAACTCTGCAGAGCATTGAGAGTGAATATGGAAAGTGTGGGGTTTTGTTTTCTTGAGCAGCTAGAGGGACTCACCATTCCCTTCCCATGCATCTGCCAGTTCAATTTGCCTGGGGCTAGTGTAGAGGCTGGGTAGCTCTGAAGATGGTTTGGCCTCATCTTTACCTTTTAGGTTTCCTGTGTTTCTCTTAGAGGTTCTGTGGCAGGAAGGGAATGGTTACATGCACTGATGGTCTTTTTCTTCTCCCTGGAAATTTGTGGCTGTGATTCCCTAGGAGCTGCTCTGGAGCTTTCAAACAGTCTTCACCCTCAGTGAAGACAGGAGGGCCCCTGATTCTACCAGCTTCCTTGTTTAGACAGTCAGGCAGTATGAAATAGTAATTTCAGCTGTATTTTTGCTAATCTATGTATGGCATGTCTTAGCTAATGCTGAATATTTTTAGGTTGTTTTTGGTGACCTAAGAAATTTTGTATG